GGGAACAAGCCTTTGATGAATAATATGCATATGCTACAAAATGTATAATGTGATGAACCATGTGTATGAATTATTATATTGAATAGGTATATGAATTATGGTATGTGATATATTAAGAATCTTGGATGTTATGACTAGTGGTATGATAGTATTATTTTCTTGAGAAATTAGATTGTGTAACCATGTATATGACCTAAAATAATGAACTATGTGGAAGATAGTAATATGTAAAGATTCTTGTTTACATGTGGTTATGTATGCTATTCCTTTTGAGGTATGGTCAAATGGCATTTATAATCGTGTGTGTGTGATGTGGGAGTGCACATGATGGTAATGGTAGTGTGCGGTGTGGTAGTGCACATGTAGATAACAGCTATGTGCAGTGTGGGAGTGCACATGACTTGTGTTGAGGTTGGTAACTACATGCACCAGGCCATGTTGAATATTCTTGAGATAAAGCTAAATGTTTGTGACGCATGTCTGAGAATATATATATATATATATATACACACACACACACACATAAATACTTATACACATGTGTACATATATCATAGAGTAGGAATGTTTGAGAAATGTAATGTGATTGCATTGAATGTTGAATGTTGGAAACTCCTAAATGTTTTTTTTCAATAAACGCTTTGAATAACCACATAGCATTGGAATTGGTTTTTGATATACAAATTGCCTTGTTTCTAACAAAAGTGTATCGGTTTAAATAAAACCTTCAGTATCGCATGCTTGTTCTCTTCCTATGTTCACTCATTGGGTTTGTACTCACTTTTTTCAACTTCATATTTTGGTTTTCAGACCCAGAAGTAATTAGAATCTAGATTGAGGTGCCTGCTTATACTCACCTTTCGGTAAGTTTACCTTTGCATTCACTAGCTGTACCCACACCCAAAGTCACTCTGTTAGTAGTCAAGGGTTTTTCCATGTGAACATAGATGTTTTAATGTAAATTGGGAGATTTATTTTGTAAACATTATATGTCTAAGCAATGGGTTGGCAATTGATAACATTGTTTTGGGATATACTTGCTTGCCATGGTACATTATAGAGGAAACTATGATTGGGAATGATGAATTATGGTTCTTAAAGTATGATGTGTGATAAATGGATTGATGAACAAGTTTACATAGAGAAGCTTGCTTGGGCCTAGTAGGCTATGCTTATTAGGCCCATGCGCCAGTCATGGCTAGGGATTGGGCTGTGACAATCTAACTATAATTTGAAAAAATTTAGTAAAAAAGTCATATACCTATTGAGCTGTCACACATTGCCAAAGTACATGTATAAAAGTCTCTTATGAATCATAGCATTAGCACTTGGAAGCCATTTGAAATCCCTTGGACTTCAATCGTATATCAATTGGTATCTAATCATGAATAGCTTTCTAAAAAAAGAAAGATATATTCGTCGAGATGCTTCTATGTCATATTAAATCAAAACTGCTATTAATAGTTTGTTTTTGCCATACCGTCTCTTAGGTGCATTTGGTAGTTAAGATGCCATTTGATATAGGAAGCCAATATGAGGCATCATCCTTTGAGTTTTCAGTAGGAATGCTAATTAAATATTCAACCATAAACTCTGGTAAGATTACTTTTAACTTGTCCAAATCCTATTATCATTCTCATAAAAATGGTTTACTTTGACGATAGAGTGGGAGTGAAAGAGAAAAGATCTTCCAAGGGTTGTTCACCCATCCAACAATCGTGCACAAAACATAATTCACCTTTACCAACCTTCCATTTGATGTCCTCTTCAGCTATTCAACAACTATTCAACAATTGCTTCCAAGTTGGAGAGTCATGGATTTTTGCTTGGATTTGCATTGAAATTTGACCCCTACAATATTTGGATTTCAAGTATCTTGCCCATAGACTATTTGATGTCTTAAATCACCACCAAAGCTTGAGGTTAAAAGCTTCGACGACATCCGTTAAGCCTTGAATGTCTAGGCCCTCTTCATTACCAAGAAAGTAGATTTTCTTCCATGTTGCCCAATGTATATGTTTGAAAGATACAATATTCCCCCCATTGAAAGCTATCAAATATTCTTTCAATTTTCTCAACAACATAAAGTGAAGGCTTTAGCACTTGAAGTAGATATATGGTTATGGAAAAAAGCACACTCCTTACCAAGGTGATCCAACCCATGGAGAGAGGACTTTGTTTTCCCAACCTAAAATTCTGCCTCTGATTTTAGATATAAGGGAGTTAAAGAAATAGGATTTTTTGGGTCCCTAGTATAGTGGTGCTCCTAAATAAGTTATCAACTGCTTTTGGTGAATAAATCTCGTAGTAGAGTGAAAAATCTACACTGTAATGTTAGCCATGTTATTGCTAGTGATAAAACAACTTTTCTATGGATTTATTTTTTGCCTAGATATCACCTTATACTCCTTCAAAATATTCTGAATTTTTTCCAAGGATGAACGATTTCCATTAGTGAAAATAATTATATCGTCAGCAAAAGAAAGATGACTTATCGCCATAGAACGTCTTGCCAAATAATGTAAAGAATTATATTTTCCATAAAGCTCATTCAACCTTTTAGACAAGTACTCTGCCACTAAAATAAACAAAGATGGAGATATCAAATCACCCTGCATTAATCCTTTCTCAAATTTAAAATATCTCACTGATTCACCGTTAATCAATAGAGAAAATCAGCAATTAGATATACATATCTGAATCAAAATAATCCACTGCTAGCTAAAACCAAAATGTTGCATCATGGTGAATAAGAAATTCTAGTTTAATTGGTCATAAGCCTTCATCATGTCAAGCTTCAAGGCAATATTACCTGTTATAAACATTAGCTCAATGAATAACCAACATTAATGTCCACGAGAAAGGTGAATTGGATTTTAAAAATTTTTTGGAAAATGAAGTGTGAACTACTATAGTTGACTATGGTTGTATTTCTCCTTAGTTAAACTTTTTCAAAAACTTATTTAAACAAGTATATAGTTGATTATGAAGACTTAATAGTTGATCCTAGATAAGAAACTCATTTTAAAAGCTTGAAAGAAAAGTTTCAAGGAAAACTATGTTGAATATACAAATTTTAATCAAGTCTTCTTAATCAAACATGGGCAATAATCACTTTGAAATGCTTAAAGCATTTTTCAAGTTGAAATCAAATAAAAGCAATTTAAGAAGAATATTTCAAGAAATAAATAAGTAATGGTGGTAGGGAAAGATTTAGCAAAGAAGCAAACCAAGATGTGAAGAATATCAAATCAAGCCATAAGCACTTTATGAAATGGGTTTTCTTGAAATGAAATGTGGCAAAACAAAAATATGATAAAATGAAGATGCTAGATAAAATTAAACCTTTTTCAAATTGGATTTTCTATTAGTGTGAAAATCAAAGTAGATGATTTTTCTAAAACAAGATTTCAACAATAAATCACCAAGTATAAAAGTAAATCAAGACAATGATTTTATAGTGATTCGACTTTCTCAAATGCCTACATCCACTCCCTTGGCAACCAAGGAATTTTCAATCCACCAAAAAATATTCTTGGTTTTTAACGAGATAAAGTAGTAATCCTTACACCTACTTTTTAACAAGATCAAGCAATAACCATTGGTTTTTAATAGGCTTAACCACAAATCAATACAATGGCTTTTTTTGGGATCAACCATAACCCTGATACTCAATTTTTACAAGATCAAATGATAATCCATGGTTTTTAATGGGCTCAACCACAAACCCATACAATGGCTTTTTTGGGATCAACCATAACCTTTACACTAACTTTCAAGGTTAAGTTACAGCCTTTACAATAATAGCAAGAATGCCTTTAAAAGGTAGATTTTGCTAAGTTGGTACAATGGAAGAAGAATTCCTAACATTGAGTATAAAGATAGGATATAAAGATTGGAGTGAAAGCACAAAAAAGGTTTTAAGCTCAAGTATGCTTGGTTTGCTTGGTTTCTCTCATTTCCTTTTAACACTATCATCTTCAAGTGTTTAACCTTTTTTCTTTCTTCTTCCTTACCTTGAAATGCTTCTGAAAGGTCCTTTTTATAATTGAAGAAGTCTTGGAGCCATTGGAGGTGAGTAAAGTAAGAAACTAATATTTTTCCTTTTAAGTTTT